AAAAAAAAAAAACATTACTTCAGAAATTAATTTGCAGCGTTTTCTAAAAAAACATAATTAATCTAATATAATGTTCTTATTTTTTGTATTTAATTTGAAACTAGATCTTTCTTGAAATAATTCCTTTTATAGAAATTGTTTTTCTTGATATTTTATCAAATTATTTAAAGTAATAATAATTTTGATTTAAATTAATTATTATTATTTTATTTATTCTAGTTATATTTGTAAGAATTTAGTAATAATTTACCACATATTTAAATTTAAAATTTATGAAACACAGATTTATTTATTTATTTTAATTGCAAATAGCAGATGATTTTTTCTTAAACAGCCAAATTGAATTTCATCGGGACCTTTCTACAATCGGCCATGTCTCACTGTCCATTGTCTTTACCAATTCCCCTCGGATTTTCCGCTACATGGAATGGCGTAAAGAACTGGTTCAATAATCACTCGTACTTGCAGGGGGAGCGTCGTTTTCTTGCGGTCCCTTTCAACAAGAAAATCAATTCATTTCCACCAGAAGTCTTGAAAGCTATAAATCTGAACCAGCATTGGCTACAAGTTCGCCACAACTCCCAAATGCACACCAGCCACTGATATTACAGGTTCTAAGCCCTCAGAATGGCGAGTCCCACTTGCCGGGATCTTCCCCTTATTGTTCCGTTTACAAGAGTTTTACAGTTTACTTAACAGTCTCAATCCTCTAGTATCTGGAACGTTGTAGTAGAATTTTCTCTCTTCTCGATGATTTCCTTTGCCGGCGGCATTTCGCCGTCGCTCAAGACGGAGATTTATAACCTTCCCGCTAATTGGACTTTTGTCCCTCTGAGGAGAGCATTTCAACATAGTAAGATTCATTGCTTACTTTTTTCCTTTTTCCGTTTTTCTCTGTGTTTCTATTTGAGGGTTGAGAACACTACATGCTGAATTGTTTGAGTTTGGCTTTGTACTTGGAGGAAGCGAATGTGTAATGAATAGGCGAAGCTTTGCTTTTAGGGGAATTGTGGCTTCTGGAGTTTCAGTTACGGGCTCTTCTGCGGTTATTCAACCTGCTCAAGGTCAGAGTCTTGATCTCTTTTGTGGGTTGTGCCAGTTAATGATTTAAAACTGGCCTTCTATGTGTTGGCTTACTAATTGCAGCTCGGCTAAGTTTATCTTTATTGTTCTTTTAAAGGTATTGAAAGATTACCTTTCAAACCAGAAGGTTATAACTTCTGGACATGGCGGGGTCACAAGATACATTATGTTGTACAAGGAGAAGGTCCTCCAATAGTTCTCATTCATGGGTTTGGTGCTTCTGTATTTCATTGGAGGTTTGATTTATTTGCTTTTTCTGTTTGCAATTTTCTCTTGAATCGTTATACTTCAATGAGTGAGTTGGAAACAAATTTAGGCTCTTTAACGTAATAGCTAAGTTTTTGGTATTAGATCTTAAGTTCAAATTCTGTATCTTTTTGTTACTATTTCATACTAATAATCAATGTATTGGGACTCTCAATTATGATTAATATATGGTTCATATGTTACTTAGGTCTGTGTTAAAAAACAAATTGGATCAAAGAACTTAAACTTCTGAGTCTTGTGGCGATTCATCCGTATCTTTATTTTCTGTATCAATTGAGTGATTCCATAGCCATTTTTTTTCCTTCTAATTGTAGGTATAACATACCAGAGCTGGCTAAAAAGTACAAGGTATATGCTTTAGACTTGCTGGGATTTGGGTGGAGTGATAAAGCATTAATTGAGTATGATGCCATGGTATGGAGGGACCAAGTTGTGGATTTTATGAAGGAAATAGTGAAACAGCCCGCAGTGTTAGTCGGGAACAGGTAATAATCTCGACGAAGTATACTGTATAAATGTCGTATGAAAATGTATTAAGTGTAAATGGACTTATGCGATGATTTAAATGTTTCTGTTTAGACTTTGCTTTATAAAATGATGCGTACTCTAAATTATTATCACCACAATTTGATTTTTATGTATAACTATTTAGCATTTCAATTGTCTTTTGATATCGAATTGCAATCTGATTGTTGCTTGTCCACATTCGCATTTTTTTCTTTGATCAAACTAAGCATTTTCGTCCTTCGACATAGAATTCATTGTCTGCACGTCTTTTAAGATTTGAAAGTATAGGCGGCTACTTCAAATTTGAAAGATGTCATGGGAAAATAACATTCTACTTCTTTGTTATCTATATACAACTTTTAGGAAGATCTTCTTTGGGTTTAGTTTCATTCTCTTTGTTCAATTGGTTCCGCGTTGTTCCTTTTTCACTCCTTTATGGAGTTTGTATTCTTGAACATTAGTCTATTTTCATTATTCAATGAAAAGTTTCGCATCTGTTGTATATATATGTATATATGTATACATGCGTGCAATTTTTTCAAGATGGCACCTTAAGGTATTTTAGTTGTCGTTTCAATGTTCAAATTGCATGTTTCAAAGTTTGCTACCAATTTTTCGAATATAAATATATATGTTCCAAGTCTGCTTCAATTCATGTCTCAATTCTAATGATTCTTGGTCTAACTAACAAGCCTCATTTTGCGAGTCTTAACTTATTGTGTAAGACCATATTTCGGTATAGAACGATCCATGATTATAAAAGGTGAAAGTTTGTCCATGTCAGTTGCCAATAAGTATGGTGGAGCTGGACGACAGTTTTAATTAAAACTAATTCTGGATGTTGCATTCAAATTGATTCTGATTTATGGTTCTTTGGTAGCCTTGGAGGATTTACCGCCTTGGTTTCAGCAGCAGGATTGGCGGAGCAAGTCCGTGGAGTTGTATTACTAAACTCTGCCGGGCAGTTTGGAGATGCTAATAAGTTGATAGATGAACCAGAAGAAACAAGCTTCAAGAAGTTCATTCTAAAGCCACTGAAAGATTTTTTCCAGAGGATCTTTCTTGGAGTTCTTTTCTGGCAAACTAAGCAACCAGCTAGAATTGTTTCCGTTTTGAAGAGTGTAAGTGGCTGTCTAAGCTGTTTGTTTTGAGGCATTGTTGTTTGTTAGACTATTTCAGGTCATGTTCAGCATTCCTTAATAACTTGTAAAGGTAAAACTAACATCATACCGAAAACTATTAATTGTGTCTCCAATATATTAGTATAAGCATTTAAGGCTGGCTTCCTGGTATCTATCCGTTACGTGTGCCCGAATGTCTTTGATTCATCTTTGTTATCCTTACAGGTATACATAAACTCTGAAAATGTGGACGACTATCTGGTAGAGTCTATATCGAGGCCAGCAGCCGACCCAAATGCAGGAGAAGTTTACTACAGGTATGTGTTTCTGTCTAGCAACATCTTTCTTCACCACACATCAGTGTAGTTTGTTCAAAAGAATGGCCTGCATAACTCAGAACTCAAAAAGTTTATCAATACATATCTACCATCATTTCATTTGGAAAAGACGAACTGTTCGAATCTATCAACTTAAGCTTTTGGAACCCGTAGTAATTTAATACGAACGAACGAAGCAACCTACTTGGATCAGTCGACGATTGTCTGAAAAAACTCATGTCCCTTATGGTGCAGATTGATGACAAGATTCATGTTCAATCAAAGCAAGTATACTCTAAACAGTGTACTGAGTGAGCTGAGGTGCCCTCTGTTGTTACTGTGGGGCGACTTAGATCCATGGGTTGGTCCTGCTAAGGCCAACAGAATCAAAGAAGTGTATCCCAACACAACTCTTGTAAATTTGAAAGCAGGGCATTGCCCACATGATGAAGTTCCAGAGCTTGTCAATTCAGCTTTAATGGATTGGCTATCAACCTTACAACAACCCCAACCCTCTGTTCCTTTACTGTAAAAATCTCTCTAATTTTTTGTGTACCATTTGTATTCATACTTCACTCTGAGATTTCTTTATACATCTCAGTTGGCTCATGTCTGAAACTTAGAATCATGATGTATTTTAGAATGGTAAAAAAAAGGCTTTTACTTTTACTTGTTGAGAGATTGAAGTAAGTTTGTAAAATCTTGGTTTCTCTCTTCTCTAGGGAGATAGAAACAATGATATATACGAAGAGGAGGAAAAATAAAGAGAATAAAGCATATCAATATTATATATAAATTTTTGAAGTGTAGAGTAAAAACTTAAATCAATTCGTCACTAATAATTTTCATTTTCATCAAAAATATATTTATTTTTTTGTGTTTGACATTAATAAATTTTTTAAAAGTTTAAAAGTATTTTTTAAATAAAATACAAAATTTAACCATATTTTATATAATTTAGCCATAAATAAATAAATAAATGTGCCTTCGACTCGCTGGCTTTTTCCATCCGCTTGGTTGCATCGGAGCTTTCACCGATCGGAAGCCATCTCCGAGAGTAAAGCGACATGGGTGCTTCGGAATCCTCACTCTCAAGCTCTCAGAAAGCGGTATTGCTTAGTTTTTGCATAATCTCTTTGCATTGCTCACTTATTTCCCATCTTAATATGTTCTGTTACGACTGAAGCGGCCAGCTGATGTAATCTCCACCGTCTCGGAGCGGTCAGAAGCTGTTGACCCCATATTAGAGAGGCTCAAATCCCTTAAAATCGTAAGTTCAATTATGAAAGTTCTTCAATTTCCCTTTTTGTATGACAGCTAGGGATTCGTTACACCTCACTTCTGTGAATTGTCAAACTTGCATCTGGATTTAGAATTTCATTTGGTTTATTTCGTATTGTAGACAACACCGATATTGCAATCACCCCCTACGGAAGGTAGCCTGACAGATATCTTAGTAAGGAAACCGCCCTCTTCTTCAAATGCTGGTAGGATTCTTAGGATTGAACTTATTGTTTGTTTAGTTTCCTTCTTGGATTAAAATTGGTTCTGTTGGGTAATTTCGTTTTAAACCACGCTTTGTGCTGCCCTAGCCAGCGGTATAACATAAGGCTCAGAAGGGAGGTACAGGAGAAACACGGTTAAGTATTTCAAGCATAACCGCTTAAATTATTGTGATAATCAGTCTCTACACTACCGGCTATAACATTTACCTTTGGCTAAATAGTAATTGGTGATTATGAACTTGGTTGTTTCTGAACGGGTAAGAATAATAAGCATACACCGGTTACCATAGAATTGTGTAAGCGTCAGTATCACTTCCAGTTCCGCTGTTATAATAATAACTCAAGAATCTCTGTTCAACCTGCCAGTACTCTGTTCCTCAATATATTGATCACTTATGAAGCATAGTGTCACATGGTCAAAACTAAACACCCTTGTAACACATAGACCCTTTAAGTTGACCAATGCGTCCATGTCTTATTTGGTTGGACACTTGTTAAGAACAATATACACATGCCAAAAACTAGTTGAACAAATTGAATGCATGTTTTGAACAGTTGTTAAGCAAAATAAACGTATGAACATTCTGGAAGCGAAAGACATATTAGTGTATAAGCATTATTCACTTCAAATCTCTCTTTCATTAAGATATGAGAAGATTTAGAAAGTGGATAAGTTGGTTTAAATCTATCTTGAATATTTGTTTCATGAAACATTTCTTCGTAAATGCACAAGCATTAAAAAGAAAAAACCATTTTTTAGCATGAGAATTAAAATGTGTAAAAAGAATATATGTATATTTTAAAAATGTATATCATAATGTACATATCCTTATTATGTTCATGTTCTAGATTTTTTTTATTTTAAATTAATGTGTCACTGTGTTTGTGTCTTATTTGTGTAAGTGCTTATTAGCTGATCAGTATCTACCCTTGGGATGCATGGATTGGTAATGAGGTCTCTAGATGTAGACGAACATTTGAACTAAAAGCTTTTGGAAAATATGTTCATTTTCTATATTGGGGTTGGTAAACTAATTTGGAAAAGAAGAGTGTACCACTTACTTCTGTAACTTTTAACTGTTTGTACAATATTGATCATGCAGCCTTAATCCAAGTTGGGAAAACGTTCATATTTTATCCAAGTATGAGCCTGCAATCATTTGTTAATTTTTTAGTTTAAGTAAATGAAAAAAAAATATATATAGTTTAGGTAAATGAAGAAACCATTTTGCTAATTTAGGCTTCTTTCCAGTGTTATGGTTTTCGTCATTGTAGCATGGATGTTGAGATTATTGAGTCTATTGCCTAGTTTGCTCTCTTTATCATATTGTAACCTTTTCTGTGTCATGTTATGCCATTGCAATATTTTTGCAAAGGATGCTGCGTGACTGTTCTATTCTTTCTCAATGCAATGTAGTTACCGTGAATCCCCAAGTGCTTTTGGAGCTCTTCTCAGTGTACCGTAATTGGCAGGATGAACGGGTCCAAAAGATCAACAAGAATCAGGTTTGTTCTGTTAAAAAATATTTTGATTTTTTATGGTGAATGCAAATGCTTGTGAGTTATTACATCATTCAGTTCCTTTTATTTCTGTCTACGAAAGATGCCGCTGTTGTGGTTTTATGTTTTTTCTGCTTTAGATTTTATCTAGAGCTCCCTTTAACAAGTAGAATATACTGCCCTCATGATAGAGTTTAAAGGGGCTATGGTTTCCATATTCTTTTTTTATTTCTTTACATGAGTGTGGAGATTTGAACTTGAACTTTTGACCTTTAGATTTAGGATACAATGCCTTAATTAGTCGAGCTATGCTCAGTTTGATAACGTTTTTAATAAATATTTCAGTATCCTCATCAGCTTTTGCCTGTCAAGGGATTCTTTTTTGCCTTGGTCAAAAGGAAAAAAAGGAAGTTGGTTCTTAAGTCGCTAATTTCTTGTACTTATCTTTCTCTTTCAATATCTCATCCTGCTCATGGTAGGACTATGCCCTATCCTATTTAGGTGATTTCGGGGGTTAAAATTCTTAAGGTCACTTTTAGCTGGTTATTCAGGGGCAAGTCAATTCTGGATTTATTCAGACGAGGTTTGCTACCATGTCTCTCCAACGTTGGTAGTGTTTTTTTATTTATTATTATTATTTTTCGTCTAGCCTCTTAGGACTTAGCATCATCTATATATATTAATGAGAAATGAGAAACCAACTTTTCATTGAGAAAACGGAAAGAAAAAATAGTCCAACAAAAGGAACTCCGATAAAAACTACAAAAAAAAGTCCAATCCATCAAAATATGACCCAGCCGACAATTATAAAAACCCATAGTGATAGAAGCCCACAAAGAAGATTAGCATCATATTTTTTGTTTTTTTTTTTGTTATCTTGGTCTATTTGGATACGTATTTCAATTAGCATTATCTGTAATGTTATAGATCTGAAGTGCAATGATTTTTTGGCCTTGACGTCGGTAGAGTTCCCTTTTTCTGGGAGAAAGGGATGAGTTTCTGTAAAATGGTCGTATTAGCTTCAGTATGGAGTACTTGGTTGGACTACAACAGGAATTTTTTTATGATAGATCTGGGATATTTTTGAGATGCGTATTGGAAGTCTGAACCTCTTTGAATCAATTCTAAGATTTCTATATGAATTTTCGAAGTTTTGAATTTTGATGGTATAAATGTTGGGGCCCTGGGGGGCTTACATGTCAATGGGATGGTTGCAGGTATTTATTTCTCTAAAGGGGGACCTTTCTGATGCTTTTGCACCGCTTCCTTTCAGTCACATCTAGTACCTCCATTTTCACATTCCTAGATGAAAGTTTTGGTTTACCATTTACAATTTTTTTTTTTTAAAGAAAAAGAATAAATCTAAACTCTGATGTAATACTTTCTTTTTACTTAATTCTTTTATATTGAAGGCAAGGATGGAAAATCTTTTGGGTTTTGAAAATTAAGCCTATTAATATTTACTTCCATCTAAATTTTCTTGTTTTGTAATCTAACAATTTGAAATTTGATTAAAAGGTTTTCTTGAAAAAAAAAAACATGAAACTCATTGTAACCAATTGGTTATCAAATAGGATTTAATAAACTATTGGAATTTCCACTTACAACTTTTTGTATTGATATTACGGTACTTCACCTGATCAGAAAACCCTATTGTTCTTTAGTATTTATCACACTTGGAATGTTGTTGCAGCCTTAGTGTAGGGTTCTTCCAGTAGAAGAATAGGAAAGATTGTTGTCCATGGAACTTAATTTGGTGATAATTATTGTAGGAAGATATCGAAAACAAGATTGAAGTCACAGATGCTTTGGCTGTTAAACTTCTTCAACGCTTAAATTTTTCGGTTTCTGCAGTGAAAACAGCTTCCGAACATCTATCCGAAGGTACCGATACACATAGTTTTTCTTCCTCTCTTTCTCTGTTTCCTTCCTTTTCTTTTTCTTCTCAACAGATGGGTTTGTGAATGCTTGTGTTTTGCGAACTAAATGTACTGGTTGTACTATTGTCTGTCTTTGGATATGTGTAGTTCACGCACTGAAAGTGGAAATTGGTGAGCTTAAGGGAAGATTGACAGAAGTTATTAGTAATTGCGATGCAATATGCAAAAGAATTTCTTCAGAAGGACCAGAGTCTCTTCGGTTATCTATCAAGCCATTTGTTGTTGCCACCACCGACTCGGGGTCGTCCTGTAATTCATCTTCTCAGCAAGTAGATTTGAATACAAATCCACATCCCCAAGAACCCAAATTAGGTTGATTCTTTATTGGAACATTTTGCAATCTTAGAAAACAAAGATTTCAAAGCAAAAGATGGTAAATGTGCCAATTCTTGAAAAACATTGGATGGATATCAATCCCATGTTGTGTCTATATAGTGACTTCATTTTTCAACATTCATCCAGTCTGAAAAACTAAACTCAAACTGAAACACAAACAATCGTCTACGGAGAGATAGGCAGCTTGTCAAATTTGTTGTTTACAGCAAATTTCAGCTGTTAAAATGCTGTCCTACAGGCTTACATCAGTGTTCCAAAATCTAGGACGGTTGACCGTAGTGGCCCTTTGAAAGGAGTGGGCGCCCACTAAAAGATGTTTCCTCCTTCGGCCCTTTCAACCCCTGAGAATTATCCACCGACGGAGCGTTTGCCCTTTACTCGTTAAGATCCATCTTCCAGAACCTGAACACACCATGTGACCCATTTCATTGAAGCACATTGATTGAAGATGCCATTGTCGGTGCTTCAAAAACCTCTGATAGGCCTGACTTTTGAAGTTTTTTAATGTGAGTTTCAGTTATATTATATATGAGAATGTCTGAAACTCCACTTTTTAAAAAGGAAAATGCAATTAGGAATTCAAGATTCAAGAGGTGCACCCAGAAGAAAACATAGCTAGTGAAGTGTGTTCATTAATAATATTTTTGGTAAACAAATGTTGAGTTAAGAACAATAACTGATTGTGAAAGAACATTAAAGAGCATAAATAACACAAAAGAAAACAGATTTTGAATTCTGCAAATCAAACGAAACTATATTTCTCTATTCGAGAAGGATTGGCATTTGAAGCACATTGCGATCGGGAAAATTGCAGCATACAGTAGTTGGGGTCGGCTCTATCTGATCTGCTCTGATTAAGGTTGCTGCTGCGCATCCATGTAGCCAGCATCGACCAAAACCTTCTCTCGCTTGGCCATTTCAACGTCTTCATCCACCATCATCTTCACCAGCTTCTCAAATCCGACCTTTGGTTTCCATCCCAACACCTTCTTTGCCTTGCTTGCATCCCCTTTCAGATTGTCGACCTCCGTCGGCCGGAAGTATCTCTTGTCGATCACTACATGGTCCTTCCAATTCAATCCGACGTACCCAAATGCCACCTCCAAGAACTCTTCCACCGTGTGTGATTCCTCCGTCGCAACCACATAATCGTCGGGTTGGTCTTGCTGTAGCATCATCCACATGGCTTCCACGTAATCCCCTGCAAAACCCCAATCCCTTGAAGCCTGCAGATTCCCCAAGAACAACTTGCTCTGAAGCCCAATCTTGATGCGCCCAACAGCCCGTGTGATCTTTCTCGTCACAAAATTCTCTCCCCTCCGCGGCGATTCGTGGTTGAATAGTATCCCATTGCAAGCGAAGATCCCGTACGCCTCGCGGTAATTCACCGTATACCAATGCGCAGCGCATTTCGCTGCGGCGTAAGGAGATCGAGGATGAAATGGAGTCGTCTCCAACTGAGGCGGCGGCGTGGACCCGAACATTTCAGACGATCCCGCTTGATAGTATCGAATGTGACTCCGGCCAGTGGCAGCGATATGAGATCGAACCGCCTCAAGCAAACGGAGGGCACCAGTGGCGACAACGTCAGCGGTATAATCCGGAATTTCAAAAGAAACAGCAACGTGCGATTGAGCAGCGAGGTTATAGACCTCATCGGGAAGGATAGTATCGAGCCATCGGCGAAGAGAGGAGGCGTCAGTGAGGTCAGCGTAGTGAAGCTTCATTCGCGCCTTGTGAACATTGTGAGGATCGATATAGATGTGGTTGATTCTCTGAGTATTGAAGTTAGAAGATCGCCGGATCAATCCATGGACTTCGTAGCCCTTGTCGAGAAGGAACTCAGTCAGATAGGAACCATCCTGGCCAGTAATGCCGGTAATTAAGGCCGTCCGGCGCTTCTCCGTCGGGGCAGTGCCCTCGACATTGGTATTGGAGGCGGATCTGGTACCGTCGGCGATGGATGCCATTGCGAATCAATCCGATTGATTAGTCGGACCTGAGAGTGAAAAGAAAAAAAAAGACGAGGAAAGCGAGAGAAGGAGGGGGGGAAAGGGGGAGCTCGCCTCTAATGGCCGTGTTGGAGAAGGGTTTGAATCTTGTCTCGGCGAGTTGCACGCGTTTCTTGCTTTACACAGCTGGGTTAGCCAATCAAAATGTGCCACCTCATCGTCTATGTTAGGGCATGTAATGTAAAATGGGGAAAATCAAATTTGCACTGAGAATGAAATTTTTCTTTGACGGTGTAATTGGATTCAATACAGTTCAACTCGATATTTGTTCTCAATTATGGTCTAATATCAAGATTGAGAATCATAACTGGGTATCAACATAATTAATATTCGTAATTTGGTATCAAGATGAGAGAAACCTAAAACATATTCTAAATATGAGATAGAGAATTATGGTCTAATATCAAGATTGAGAATCATGACTCCGTATCAACATAATTAATATTCATAATTTGGTATCAAGATGAGAGAAACCAAAAACATATTCCAAATATGAGATAGAGAAATTTAACCTTTCACCAAGAAGAGATAGTATCGGTCAAAGGATGTAAGAACTAGAAGAGATAGTATCGGTCAAAGAATGACGAAGGATGTAAGAACTAGAAGAGATAGTATTGGTCGAAAGATGTAAGAACTAGAAGAGATAGTATCGATCAAAGGATGTAAGAACTAGAAGAGATAGCATCGGTCAAAGGATGTAAGAACTAGAAGAGATAGCATCGGTCAAAGGATGTAAGAACTAGAAGAGATAGCATCGGTCAAAGGATGTCCGTGCCCATTATCATATTACACTAAATAAGTCATAACTTGTATGGAGTCAATAGTCAAACACCAAACTAAAAATAAAATTTTTTAAAATTTAAAAATCAATTACACACAATTACAGTTGGGAATCAAAGTTCTACATTAGCTCAAAAAAGAAAAGAAAAGCATGAAAACATGTCTTCATGAAATGACTAAATTCTATATTGACTTTTTTAGTGATTTTATGAAGACATGAATTAATGATAAATACATATGTTCTTGACATGCAACTAAATACAAAAGTTATAAAATTCAAATTATGCCTTCTTTTCAAACTTCTGTACATTTTAAAAGCTCAAGAACCCTAAGACGCTAACTTCACATTTGGTCACAAAATCTGCTTGGCCCCAAATAAAACTTCGTTTTTTAAAACCTAAAACTTAATAAACCATGAAAAAGTAATAAAAAGAAAGTTTCCAAAAGAATAACGTTTCAGAAAAATTCCCATTTCCTACCCAATAATCCTAGGAGGTTGAGCAGACAAATGAGGCGTAATAAAAGACGCAAACAATTCAAATCACAACCACTTGAACGCAAATATCTGTCACGTTTACAGAGCCAAAAATTCAATGGCATAAAAGCATCGAACTTCAAGAAAATTCTTAGGTCACTGAAACAGAGTAGCTATAGCCAAATCACAACATGAATTGTCCTGTACTATCAAGAGCATAGCAACAAATTCGTGTCGCCTGGAGTAGAACCAAATCCTTCTCGAATAACTTCAGCCAAATAGATTAAATGCTTCAATAAGGAGGATTTATGAGAGAATTTAAGCAGTCCGCTTGATGATGTGAACTCCACTGTCAGTGTCCACAATGTCGCTTACCTCTCCAACCTTGAGGGCAAATGTTGCTTCTTCAAAAGGCTTCTGCATCTGGCCACGCCCAAAAGGACCTGCAATAACGTCAGTGTGTTGCTCATTTAGACGCATTCTACATTGTGCTAATCCACACAAAAACAATTGCTAGAATAAAATATCAGCTTGCTTACGAACAAAATATCATAACATATCCTTGTGATCCTAGAAAATGTCCAAATGTACCTGCTATTGAACTACCGAACACAATTACTCTCTGGGATTTTACTAATCGGGCTTGGAAGGAGAGTACACAACTACAAATTTCTAGCAAGAGACAACCAGGGGTGGAGCAGAAAGAGGAGGGCTGGGTTCATTTTAGATTTAAAAAGTTGTATACAAAGTTCGATTTATAATTTTTCTCTCAAATTTTCTCTACATGTTTAGAATTGGAAATTTATTTCATATAATGAAAAGTTGGAAGCTAAGAGTTCGCCTCTCCCCATGAAAAATTATGGCTCCATCTACACTAACGAAGTATACATTTCAGTGGGGGAAAAGAGAACTGCAATCCTAGATAGAACCAATTTTACCAGAAAGGGTTGTTCAAATTTTGTTGTTTTAATTCTTTTGATGTGTGGGTCTGATTATACCAGATTATAGTGAAATATTACTAACAAGTAAAACTATTGCTACATCTCCACCTCTCCCTTTGATTTCCAAAGCTAAGTTCCTAGATCTCATGGAATTATTAAATCTAAAGTATTTACTGGAGCAAAAAAGTCTCCACACCAGCAGGTAGAAATTTTCTTGATAGCGACACTTTCAAAGTGTTGATGTTCTCACTTTTTACCAATATATGAGAGGCTCTAAACGGATATTCCGATTGAATGGTTGATTTAACCATTTAGCTAAAATCAAGTACTGAGTAAGTAATCCTTTCATCGGTTTTCAAGTAAAATGGTCAAACATAAATGGTTATATTCATCACGGTATCACACAACTTCATCGCAAAGTCCAAAAGTAATCACGACCTTGTGATAATTGTTTGAGCATTATCATTATAGTTTTTTCATAAAGTGAAATTCAACTTAGAAATTGAGGTATAACAAAGTTCCTCAATCATAGACCACAATTCAACAAATTATGTTTGGTATCCGAGAGCGGCAGGGAATAATCATACACGATAGTATCCTGTACTATTTCAATTCAAACCAAAACAAGAAGAATTCCAAATCTTACACGAAGCAAATAAGTAAATACAATAGACACACATCTCCAATTGAATCCAAGCGATACATAGATATCCTCCCTGTAAATAAAATTCATTGAACTAAAACCTAAATCTAATATCTCGAACTAGCAATACCGCAATCCAAACACTAAGATCCCTCACGGTTAAGTCTAGGGTTCCAGGTTCAATTCATGATAAAGTGAATCCTATCTAATTCCGGACTGAAAACTACACAAATCCGACCAGAAATGGCAAACAAAAAGAAACAATTACTCTACGTAATGGCCAGAAAAATCAAGATAATAAAGATATGAGATCAGTATGCGGACCTAGATCGCCGCCACGCTTGGCAGAGCTGCAGTCAGAGATGCGAGAGGCAACGTCCTCAAACTTGGACTTGCCGGAAATGATGTCGTCTCGAATAACAGTAAGCTGAGAGACGGCGCTGTCGCGAGTGGTGTTCTTGATAATTCGGCCTTCCGGATCCTTCCACGAAGCAGGCCGTCGAGAACCTTGGTGCTTTATGAGTATGTGCGATGCCCTAACCTGACCTGCGGCCGCCGAAGAGGACATCTTGTTCTTCTTGCTGCTGCTACGCTTTTCCTTCGCAGATCGATCTGCAGAGGAGATCGAAGAAGCCGATTTCTTCCGCTTGCGATCGGAATCTATCTTGGCAGCCGGTGATAGAAACGGTGGCGCGGCCCTCGCTTTTTCCTTTCACTTAGATTGGTGCAGACAGTGGCGAGCTCTTGGCACGAGAGAGTCGAGAATATATATATTATTAGATAGTTCCAGAAAAGCGGAGAGGCTTTTCCACTGCGGATCGTTACAGCTAGTGATCCAATCTCTACCGTCCGTTCCAGTGCTTGGGAAATATCTAGCCCTTTCAGTAATTAATATTTATTATGATAGAGGCACGCATAATAAAAAGAAAAAGAAAGTCGTACAATATTCTGTGTGTTGGCGGGGTTATTGGTCCCTTAAAATGGGTGGATCATGAGATCCTACCTTGATGTTACAAAAGCTTGGAAATCTTTCCTTAACCATTTTAAAATTGTAAGACTCATACGTACATAACGAGCTAAAATGAACAATATCCGCTACATTAAACTTGTTGAAAGGTTATGTGACGCTCGAGTAAAAAAAAATATATGAATGAACTAACATTACATTCGAATAAGAACGAAGGGTATGATAATTGAAAAATGCTTAGAAGAATTAAGTTACAACTTCTATTAATAAGATATACTTTCCTTCCCGAATATGATTCCATGCCAACATACTTGCTAAGCCTCGTATCCATTGTAGTTCTCAGATTAGTAGGCAACGGTTCTCCGATATAGTTTGAACGGAGTTGGAGGCGTGTGAGGGGTCCCTTTGTATAAACAAAATTACTAATTTAAAGACCTACGAATCTTACAAACCTATAATCTTAGGATTTCAAATAAGCAAATTTGTAATTTATTTAAGAAAACAAATTCTATAAAAACATTTCTGCTTAGTTTGTTGTTTCCCAGGAGGAGTCATCGAACGGCTGTGTAACGTCGATAACAAAAGATTGGGACTATAATTCAACGGTTGGATGTAGATAGGATGGATGCCAGCTAAGGAAGAAAAAAGAAATATTAATAAATTAAGAAGAAGCTATGGGTAAATAATGTACTGACTCACACAGACACACGTGCCATTAAAGTGCGGCTTTTGGAGAAGTCTGAGCCTTAATTAATAACAACTTTCTCATTTTACAAATATGATAAATAATTTAGACATAGTTTTATTATTATTATTATTATTTTACTTAAAACATTTATTTATAAATATGTAAAAAGAAACTAGTTTTTGGTTGTTGTATAGATTTTTGAAGAAGCATGTTGAAGCCTTAAAAATCAATTAAGCAATTAATCAAAGCACACTCCAACCACCCAACTAAGGTTTCAAGTAACAAATAAAAATACAAAAAAAGAAAAAAATCCTACCATTTTAAAATTTTGAAATAGTAAAAATACTTTAATTTTTTTTTTTAAAAAAAAAGCAATAGAAAATAAAATTTTATGGATAATGAAAAATACGTAATAAAAAGTTATAATTGAAATTTATTATTTAAAAAAAAAAAAAAAAAAAAAAAGAGGAAGAATTGATCGAGAAATTGGCTGGATCCATTTAAGGTCGAGAAGGCTGGGCCATGTTTTCTGATTGAAGCTCTTAGCCTCTGGTGGTGGTGGTCAAGCACTCGTTTGCTTCGCTGTTCGAGTCTCACCCACTTCTTCAGCCTCTTCTTTGCTCCAATTGTTCACTTCCCGATGGCGATGGTTGAGGTTTCTGTTATGACGTCGAGCACGGGATCTGAGATTTTGATGTAGCCGAATTTGTGATGCTTGTTTGACGATTTTTCATGCCTGGACGTGTTTCTCCGAATCGATCTATGTTCTTCTTCTGATCTGGAGGTTCTTGCTTTCTCAACGAGTCTCTGCATCCTTTTTCAGGGGGCATTGTGGACGGGCTGCTCTGAGTTTGAGCTATTTTGTGTTTTCGATCTGCCTGATCTCTGAACAGGTTGGTTTCTCCTTCGAAATTTTTAGCAGCATTTTCGTATCGTTAGGTTTTTTATGGAGTCAATGATAGCCGGCGTGTGAGATTTCCGAATCTGTATTCTTTGGGGATTGAAAGATTCCCGGATCCCTACTTAGGTTTTGTGACCTAGCCTGGAATTCTTAGTCGACGTCTACGAGACGTCCTGTTTTTGTCTGGAAATGGAGGAAAAAGTTCATTTGAAGGAGATAAGGATTTGTAAATTTTTCTTTTTGCGGTTGCCAAGAGGGGATTGTGATCTGCCCTTGTCCATATCACATGCTTGACCAAATTAATGTTGAAATAGCCGTATCAATTTGTATCTATGGACCCTTTTAATTGGAGTAAGCGTCGATGTTGCAAGTTAAGTTCGTTGAATAAGCAGTATGAATGGCTGCACTAGTTAAATAAATAGTTGGAACGTTAGGCTATGAAAACACACATTTTGGGCTTTTTCCACTTTTTGAGACTGCCATCTATCCTTTTATTGTTTGCTTCGTCATTCAACTTTCTCCACTATGTGTTTGAATCAGGTTGGTCGGTAGCAGATTTGATTTTGACACAAAGGGTGCTTGCTTATGCTGGAGAAAGATGTCGCTTAAAAGTTTTGTTAGAGAGCTGCGAGAGATGAAAGATGGAATTGGGAGCATTTCTAAACGAGGAGAAGAAGGGAGCAGGCACTGGCGAAACCGAACAATGTCGCATATTGCACCTGATCAAGTACCTTCTTCATCGGAGTTAATTCAGCAAGGTCGATGGGCAAATCTGCCCCCAGAATTACTTTTAGACATCATCCGGAGAGTGGAACAGAGTGAAACTTCATGGCCTGCTCGATCTGTAGTTGTTTCTTGTGCTTCAGTTTGTAGGTCTTGGAGGGCCATTACAAAGGAGATTATCAGAACTCCCGAGCAGTGTGGAAGGCTCACATTTCCAATCTCATTAAAGCAGGTATTGGGTTTTTATCCCTTTTCCCTTCTTTTTGGCTGAATCCTTTCCTATTCTGATTCTCTCTGATTTCCTTTTTACAATCAAAGCCTGGCCCTCGGGAGTCTCCATTTCAGTTCTTTATCAAAAGGGATAGAGCAACTTCGACCTACCTCCTGTACTTTGGCATGGTTCCCTGTAAGTCATGTTTTTAGTTTTTTCACTATTTAATATATTATCATTTGTGAATTTGAAGGAATAACCGCGGACTTGTCCAACAGTTTCAAATAACCGAGATTATATGTAAAGATGGCAGGGTAGTTGCACTCATCATGCTTTTAGGAATCCATTTTTCATTATTGGCAATCCTATACGATTTTGGCCTGTTATTTCTTTATTTACCTTGGCAATCTCCTCTTTAAACTGCTATAAATGGATGAAAGTGGGCTATTAGTTTGGATGAATTTTTTAACTATGTCCCTTGTTAATTTAGTCGTTAAGTCCTAGAAAGAAAGTCTCACTTGATGTACCACTTCTTGACTCAGTCGAAATAAGTTTATGTACAGTTATGGAATATAAATACTTGTTCTTGACTCATGATAAACATTGAATTGACAGCGGAGGTCAAAAAGGACAAATTGTTGTTAGCAGCCAAAAGGGTCAGAAGAGCAGCCGGTACTGACTTTATCATATCTTTGGCAGCTGATGATTTTTCTCGAGCGAGTAGTACCTATGTTGGTAAATTAAGGTGAGCCTTAATAGACTTTAGTTTTTTAATCTTCGCACTCTTCTCATGATAATTTACTTTACAAACATTTGTCAGGTCTAATTTCCTGGGTACAAAGTTCTCAATTTACGATAGCCAACCTCCTTGTGACCCTGCAGCTCAGCAAAATAGTCGATCAAGCCGTAGATTTCGCTCTAAGCAAGTCTCTCCTAGAGTACCTGCATTTAATTACTGTGTAGGTACAATTTCTTATGAACTTAACGTTCTTCGCACTAGAGGTCCTCGGAGGATGCAGTGCATCATGCAAACCATTCCAGTCTCTTCAATTCAGGAGGGAGGCACTGCCCCAACACCAACATCATTCACATACTCTATCGATGACCACCTTTCTACCATGTCGGATTCTATGAGAAAGGGTTCAGCCAAGGACTTTAGCCCAAAGACCCTATCAGAACCAGCAGTTCAAGATTTGGATGAATCCTTGGTGCTTAAAAACAAGGCGCCGAGATGGCACGAGCAGCTGCAGTGCTGGTGTCTAAATTTCAGGGGACGTGTGACCGTGGCATCTGTTAAGAACTTCCAACTTGTTGCAGCCGTCGATCAATCGCACAATGTTTCAGTGGAAGAGCAAGAGAAGGTAATTCTCCAGTTCGGAAAAATTGGAAAAGATAGCTTCACCATGGATTACCACTATCCGCTCTCTGCATTCCAAGCTTTTGCTATCTGCTTGAGCAGCTTCGACACCAAGCCAGCCTGCGAATGACATCCCATCGTGAATAGCAGTCATCATCAGAAGGTAAGATAAGGAAATGCTTGAGCTTGTTGGGAAGAAGTACACAAGCAGCATTATTGACAGCTGAGAAGATGGCTATGCGATTGATATTGTCACTGAGAGTTGTGAATCGGAGGTTTGACCTGTATTTGTATCATCTCCTTGGCTCTAATGCGCATATATTATCATAAATGTCAATCTGTTGTTTTATCTATGTAGATTTCTTCATGGGTACTTCCTCGCATGATGAGACATTCTGCTTGGAAATGGTTTTAACTTTATTCCATGGTTGATTGGGCCTCTGTCCTTATGTTCTGCTCTTGTATCGGGAGTCAAAGATGTGTGGGGTTGACTTCTAGCCACTGTGGCGTTAGCTTACGTCGGGTTGGTAAAGTTCTTCATTTTCAATTTGATAATAGGTAGGGTATGGAGATTCAAACTTAGTTGTAGTTTTTCGAGCGACAATGGCACTGAATGAAACTCTTCCAGAATGAAAATCAGGGGCTGAATTAGATAGATAGTTAGGAAAGTTCAACTAGGTCATTCAGACTGTATAACTAAACTAACAATAAAAATAAACATATATAATCAAGTGTTTTATATTATTATTTAGTTAAAAACAAGGGGTAGCGACATCAATCACCCATCTTGAGAGGAAAATAGAGTTATCCTAGTGCAAGTTAACAAATTTATTTTTGTAGCCAAACTTAATTTTGATTATGATGTGAATAAAGAAATTCCTTATAATTTATGCACACATTTCTCAACTATTGGAGAAACTTT